CAAAAATCAACGGAATTTTTTAGCCGCTTGAAACTTGCACTTCTTCAGACTAGAATTGAATGTGCTACAAAACTGCATACCAGAATTTTTTCTAAAGATTCTGATTGAAAAGTTTGAAATTTGGGTGAAAAATTGCAAAATTTTTATAATTTTTATACAAAGTCTAAAATCTGAATTTATATGGTGTTTGATGTATAGCCAGCTAGGCTTTTATAAAAAAATAATAAACATTAAATAAACAAAAGACAAATAGCCAAAACTGGTCAAAATATCGCACTCCTATTATTTTGTGGACAACTGTACATATATGTGATCATGGGCGGTGCCACGCCCATTTTCCAAAATTTTACCATAAACGTATTTCTTACTAAAGAATTGTTGCAAGCATCAATTTTTAATAAATTAGCTTTAATATTTACTGATTTATCGAAGATTTTGTATTCTCTAAATTACCGTTATATGGGATGTGGGCGTGGTTATTGTCCGATTTTAAAAATTTGCGGCCATTTGATATACTGTGGCAAGGCTAACATGTATTCCAAGTTTGGAAGAAATTGGTGCAGCGGTTACTAAGATATACACATGTAACCATAAGTGGGCGTGGCTACGCCCATTTTCCAAAAGTTTATAATATTCTTATGTTTCGTCTGAAAATTATTGTAAATATCAATTTTGAGTGAATTATCTTCAGTAGTTACTAAAATATCGCAGTTTTCGTATTTCTGGAAATTACCGTTATATGGGAAGTGGGCGTGGTTACAGTCCGATTTCGCCCATTTTCAATACCAACTTACCTTGGATTAATGGAAACCTACATACCAAATTTCGTTGAGATATCTCAATTTTTGCTCGAGTTATCGTGTACACGGTCGGACGGACAGACGGACGGACAGACAGACATGGCTTAATCGACTTCTCTATTCATTCTGAGCATTTATGTATACATTTGTCTATATCTATCTCGATTCGTTTTGGCTGTTACAAACAACCGTTATGTGAACAAAATTAATATACCCTTGTGCACAAGTGCGCTCGGGTATAAAAATTTGCTTGTTAAGAAGTGTATCTTAAAATAACTGCATAGACATTTATGTTAAAAGTGTAAAATATGTAAATGTACTTACATAAACTTTCCCATGAATACCATCAAATCTATGTATGCATGCATGCATATGAGAAAATCGAAAAGTCGATACAATCTACAGCCGAAAGTAAAATTTTTGTATAGATTTCGTACTGAAGGAACGATTTCATTTCCTAACACTGTGAGGAACTAAGCAAAATGGTCTAGTGTATTTCGCAAAAGGTCTGAAAAGAGTAGTATGTATAAGCTCAATATTCAAATACATAATCCACCAACCGATAATTTTATATATTAATTAAAAAATAATTTGCATTAGTCTGAACTTAAAAAATTATAAATCAGAAGGATAAAATAGTATTTAAAATAATTAATAATAATAATTCAACAATAAAAAAATCCATTTCATTGACGAAGGGGGGAGCGGGTCTATCCCCCTTAACACTTTACTTAGCTATCCTCAATTTCGGAATTTTTGTTATATTCGAAACTTGAACCAATTTTTTCCATAAAACGTCATTGCGCCCTAGACGTTGTGAAATCTACAAACGCTCTACCTTTGCAATTGTTGGAATGCATTTTTTAATTTATTGAAACCATAAAACCAAAGTTACCCGCACGCATATTCATGACAACATTTACAACTTTTCTCTTAATTTTAAAGGTCTGATTATGCATACTTAGCATAACTTCGCACAACTTCTTAAACGTAACACAACTTTACAAAACTTAAGGCTGATTATACTTCGCATTCAACCAAATTTACCTTATGCATCGACGCAAAAGGGTTATTCACGGTGTGTGAACAAAAACAGCTGATTTTTGGTTTCTTTAGGTAAATAGATTTGTTTACAGAAAAATTCATTTAAGTGGTTTTAATGGGGTATATTTGTAGTCCAAATTAAGTCGGCACTAAAGTTCTTTGCAGTTTGACTTAATTTTCAATACAATGTCTGTAAAAATATGTAAATAAAATACGTATGTTTTTTACCATGTTTTGACCGACAACGAAAACACTTTGAAAACGAGTTTTGGGATTGTGGGCTGAAGACTGTTCACACCGGCTGTTAGTGTTTTCGTTGACATTTCTTACATCCTCTGATTACAGTTTCGCTACGCAAGAACCAAACCAAAATGCTTTTCCCTCATTTTCTTTTCATTAGCAACCTTTTAATTTCATTCTTATTTTACTTTGGCCAGCCAATTAACAATAAATCCGAAATGGCGTATTAAAGATGAGAAAATATGACTTCCACTTCGGTAAATAATCGAAAAAAAACTAGTGACGACACCGATTGGAATGAGTGGAATGTGAGTTTTCAAGTAGTTTTCAGCGAAAACTGGTTTTCGTTTGACAGATTTTACATGGACGAAAACACAAGTTTTAGGTCGAAAACCAGTTTTAGCAACGAAAACCTGTTTTCGATGTCGGTCAGAACATGGAATTTATTAAAAACATAAGTAAATAACTGCATATATAAACGAGCATAAAAATACCTTTCATTTGATATATAATTTTATATGGTTAGGTTTAAGGACAACTCGTCGCCTGGGTAAAAGATTGTCGTAAGCGCAATTTTGACGATTTTTAGTTCTAGATGCAGTTATATATTTTGAAATAAGGTCTTTCGATTGGCGTTATCAATTTTTAGATATCTCCTTTAGTTTCCGAGATATTGACTATAATTTTTTCGATAATTCAGTAAAAATTTAGTTAGTGATGCAGTCATATTAAACTAATCAATATCTTAAAATTGGCGTTCTCCATTTTTTAATATTGTGGACAAATGACGCTTACGAAAAAATTTTACCAAAGAAAATCCTTTATAAACTAAAAACTAATTAACAATAAACATTAAAAATTAAATAATTTAAGAATTTTGTGAACTAGTAACATTTTCAGAAGCTTTGGAGAAAATCTATCTTCGCCTTTTTGAGAAATTGCATTCCAAATTTCAATCGCGATTTCCCAAAACCTGCCGAAACTAACATACGACAATCTTTTACCCAGGCGACGAACTGCCAACAGCGAAATAAAACAATTGTATGGATATTTTAATATAAAATGAAAATTTTGAATAAAAAATAGCGCTATATTTTCTTCCAAATGTTAACATATAAAATCATATTTTAATATTTATTGATATTGCGAAAGATTTTTTATTATGAATCATATATTTAAAGGTGTTTTTGTACTCTTTATTACCTTGTGCATATCTTTTAATTTAGTTAATTACGTATTTTTTTTTAAGAAAAACAAATTTTTAATAAAATAGTTTTTATTTCAATATTAAATCAGAAGACTCTTAATTACCTTTCCAACCATATCCATACTTTGAAATTTGGTTCAAATCTTTTCTAAATATAAGCTTTTGAAAATGTTGACAATTCCACATTTACCCTCCCTATGAATTTGCAAAAAAAAATGTATTCCATTAAAACCATGGCCCGCCCGCTATGCTCACTTTTTCTTTTTTTAGCTGAATTCCCCTAATATTTTTTCCATGCATCTCTGTAAAAATATTGCTATTGGTACCACTGCAATTGAAATGTCACTTAAGAAAACGTGAGGCAAAATCTAAACTCAACAGATCGCTAATTTTTTACAAGTTCTGCTAATTTCTGGGTAATGGAATACATACAAAATGCAGTCAACATATTTTCACCTGACAGTTTGAAATTTATGCGAAGTTATTCGAAGTATGCATAATCAGATTATAAAGCTTAGTTTCACTATCATCCCAATTCTGAATATTCCCGAGGATTTCATTTCTCGCGGATTTTACTTTGCTCGAGAATAAAATCCTCCTATTCGAAATTGCCAGGGAGCAGCATTTTCCCCGAAAATTTGGGAGCAGGAAATTCGAAGAGCTGTTTGACAGTTATTTTGACAGCTCAACTCCCGCCATTTAATTTGCGTGTTTTACACATAAAAGTGCGTTTCCCATAAAAGAGTATTTCAGATTAAAGTTGTTAATAAATTAGTGAGCAGAAATTTCAAATCTGTGTTTTAAATTAAAGCTCAATCTTTTAACTACACGGGTGAGTTGAAAGGT